TATTCAGATAGAGTGGGAGGGGGAGAGAGAGAGAGAAACATCGACGTGAAAGGGACACAGTGAGTGGCTGCCACCCGCATGACCCAACCAGGGCTGGGGACAAACTGCAACCGAGGTACGTGCCCTTAGCGGGAACCAAACCCGGGTCTCTCAGGACTGCAGGTCGACGCTCTAACCGCTGAGCCAAACCGGCCAGGGCAACCATAAAATTATTTTTGTTGCTACTTCATAACTGTAATTTTGCTACTGTTATGAATCGTAATGTAAATACCTGATATGCAGGATGTATTTTCATTGTTACAAACTGAACAGAATTAAAGCATAGTGATTAGTCACAAAAACTATGTAATTATATATTGTGAAATATTTATTTCTAATTACTAATAAATGAAATTTTGTATTGAAGCATGGTGTAGTATGGGTAACAGCCTTAATAACAGTGAACTACATTGCTACATTTTGTGACAGTATGTGTGAAAAGCCAGTCAGTGCCAAGGTTGAGATCGCTTCTTTCTCACCAGACCAGTGATTCTCGGGGCAGTCTTTGTAAGAGCACAACAAAGATCATCTTCCACAACCAGTCTACTTCGTATTTAGACTTGATACCCAACAAGCTGGAAAACCCTGTTTCACAAAGATATATTGTTGGAAATGGAAGGAGGAACAACACAGTGTCAGACAGAACAGGATATGACTGCAAACACTTGATCCAGAATTTTATCACTGGTATTGCAGAGAATCAGTTCTCGCTGCATTGCTGTTAATAAGTTCAATGAACTCCTCTTGGGCTGTCTCAGGAACATCTTCAACTTTGATTGTGAATGGGCTTCTGACAAGTGCAAATGGGGTGCCGGTAGATTTGGAAAGTATGATGAAGTTTCATCTGCAAGCATGTGCAAGTGTTTGTTCACAGATATTATTATCGTAATCCTTGTCTGGTTCAATGTCATGTTCCTCAAAGAAAGCAGATAAGGTAGGCAACATGTAAATTTTATTTTCATCCAATTTTTTTTGCCAAAGCTGAAGTTTCATTTGGAGTTATCGGATCTTTTCAGACAAATCGAGGCATGCTGCATTTGGTCCTTGCAGTGATAAATTTAACTCATTCAAGATGGCAAAGATGTCAATCAAGCAAGCTATTTTCTGCAGTTCACTTTTATCGCTGAAAGTGCTTCGAACTAGGTCTTGCTGTCTGATTAAAAAATGTTCTGAGTTCATCATGAAGCTCAAAAACACGTTTTAAAACTTTTCCTGTCAACAACAATCTCACTTCAGTGTGAAATAGCAGAGCATTGTTCGGCGCATCCAACTCATTGCACAGTTGCAAAAACAGTCGACTGTTTAAAGTGCTCACCTTTACAAAATTGACAGTACTTACGATGCTTTTCATTACTTCTTGTAACTCTTGTGGCAGCGTCTCTGTTGCTAATATCTGCTGATGAATCATACAGTGAGTTACAGCGGTGACTCTTTCAGTACCAAACATTGAAATCCACATCGACTTCCTAGCATAACGGGAGTACCATCCGCGCAAACACCACAAACCTTCTCCCAAGAGATCTTATGCTCTTTCAGAAATGAGCCAACGGTGTCAAATACATCACATGCAGTAGTTGTCGTTTCAAGAGATTTGCAAAAAAGAAACTCATCTTTAAAGTCACCATCATTAATATACCTCGTGTGAACCAGTAACTGTGAACAGTTTGCAATGTCTGCAGATTCATCAAGCTGGATGCTAAATATTGGAAGTGGAGCAGATTTAATTTCCTGGAATATCAGCAGACATGTCAACTATTCTTCTGCAGACACTGTTGTTAGATAAGGAGATAGCACTCAATTTCATAACAAATTCGTCTCCGATCATAACTCGAACAATGTCTTTGGCTGCTGGCAACAGTAAATCCTCAGCAGTGGTGTGAGGTTTCATAGCTCTGGCAATTCTGAGTGCCACCAAATATGAAGCTTCAACAGCTGCTACGTTTTGTTTGTGGTACTTGCCACCAGTGTCAAGTCTGGCTTTCTTGAGTCCATCAGCTTTGCTTCTAAAATAGTTGGTATCCTTGCTGGCAAAGCTCGGATGCTTGCTATCAAAATGGCATTTTAGTTTGTTCATAGATTCCGCTGATAGAACTTCACAACAAATAACACATTGCGGTTTCTCAATTCCTGCTGTAAACCAGTAACTGTGGTTTACAGTTACTGTAAAAAATCCTCACTATATTTTCTTTCCTTAACATTCTTCTCTAAACGATCCATTGTCATGGGACGGTTTGCTAATGAAAATAATATATAACGATAGCTTTAATAATACAAAAGATGATACATGGCATAGTTTAGTCAATACAGTTCATTAAAGTTTCCTATGATTTACCATTCTCTGTGTTGTTTCTTTTACATACCTGTTACTATCACAAGGGGGCAGTATTCACATCAATCACAGCTGAATATAAAAAGACCGATCAGCATCCAGATTAAGTTGCCATGGTACAAATTTTTTTTTTGTAGTAGTTCATGATTTTACATTTACCCAGTAATTATAATTCATGAAGTGTCATTTTACCTCCAATACTGCTGCTTTCAACACAGTAGCTGCTCTCTACACATGTGTGACTGGTCCGCATAAGTACATTATGGCACCAACCCTGTCACACACACCTGTATTTGTACGAGGTGTATGTGATGGAGTTGGCGCAATGATATCATCACGCCTGGTACTCGTACATGGGTGTATCTGTATGTGGGCATATCTGCATGTGGGCGGACCCACCTAGAGACTGATAGAAGAGCGGTGTCTCAGTTCCTAGAACCATTGGAAATACAGTGATACCTCGGTTCTCGAACGCCTCGGTTTTCGACCAAATCGGTATTCGACCAGGAGATTCGAGAAACTTTTGTCTCGGAATCCGAACAAATATTTGGAACTCGAACTTCCGAGATGAGCCGAGTTGAGCCGAATGGCGTTCATTCGGCCCAGCGCGCCTTGCTTGCCTCATCAGTGTGAGTACAGAGAGAGAGTCACGCTTTGTGGAGTCACGCTTTCCTATTGGGTTTCATTGCTTCGGTTCTCGAACAATTCGGTTCTCGACCGTCCTCCTGGAACGAATTATGTTCGAGAACCGAGGTATCACTGTATTTGTTTTCCGGTGGTCTTAGGCAACCCCTGTGAAAGGGTTGTGTGACCCCCAAAGGGGTCGCGACCCACAGGTTGAGAACCGCTGAACTGAGGTATCTGGCCAGGGCAAGAATGTTCTCATAGACTCATTTAAACAGACTTTCACACTCATCACCAGCACCCTCTCGTGGCTCTCCTGTGCTTCCCCGTCACTCAGACTTACGCTCCAGTCGCTCCTCTCTGGCTCGGAGGGCTCGCTCCCGCTCCTGCAGCTGCATTTCCTTTAGTTTCAGCTCGCTTAACACAGGGCTGGACTCCTGCAACTTCTCTGGTTCTCCTAGTTGTCGCCCCCTTCTCTCAGGATTTCTTCTTTGCTCCTCTGCAACAAAGTCTGCTATCAAATGGTTCTCCAGGATTTCTTCGACAGAAGGTCGATGGTAATCCTGGGGAAAAAATGTTCAGTGTCACAGTCAGAGGTCATAACAGAATATTCACCCTAAAAGAGCGGTGACATTAAATGGGCATATCTGCCAAAAAATAGACTTGTTTATGGATGGGCCTTGACCACCTGGAAAAATAAGTTCACTGATGGCTTAACTCATGAGATTCTGGGTCCAAACAGCAATGCACATGTTTCCTTACCTTTGTTCCCCCTTCAACTAGAAGGCTCCACCCCTGTGCCGGTGCTCAGTGGCACTGCTAGAGTCAGTGTTAGGGCATCTCTACACTGAGTAAGCAGGATACTCGCTCACAGCCCTTAAATCCCATTAACTCAGCTGAATCCTTCTTTGTGATCTCATAGCATTTAAAAATTTTATTCATTCATTTTTTGGTACGTGCCCCTAGCGGGAACTAAACCCGGGACTCTCTGGTCCGTAGGCCAACGCTCCAACCGCTGAGCCAAATCAGCCAGGGCTTAGCATTTAACTTTTACATCAGTCTGATCAGATTTTTTCCATATAATCTCTTAGTTATTTCCTCTCTGCTCTTTTTAGCTCCCCATCTACACCCCTTCTCCACCTCCCCCCCCCCCCACATAAATGCACTTATTTGTGGTCTCTAACTCTCAACTGGAGCTAGAGGCTATTTATTTGTGGCCCCTTCTTACCATCTGCCACGTTGAGGTAGGCAAGGACACAGGGAACTAAGGATTTGGATGCTTTCTGCAATCTTTTCTTGCTACCAGCCATCTGTTAGCATGGCAGCGAGTGGGAGAAGACATAGAGAAAGCACACAGGGTAGGCCAGCAAGGACAGACGACTTATATATGTTTTCACTTGTGTTAACAAAGAAGATTTTTTTTTTTTTTGGTACATGCCCCTAGCGGGAACCAAACCCGGAGCTCTCTGGTCCACAGCCCAATGCTCTAACTGCTGAGCCAAACCGGCCAGGACAACAGAGCAGATTTAGCTAAGGAAATATGTTTAATGTTTCTTCAGTCTCATTGCTCTACGACACAGAACACATACTCCAAAATTTAACTGAGAGATAGAAACAGACAAAGTAATCTTATAATCTTTACCTTTAAATTTAACATCCTTGTAATGATGTCATTTAATTCATCAGAATAACGATATGAAATTCTCCTGAATTTGCCTTCTCGGAGCTTCCCAGGTAATTCCTTCTGGTTGAAAGCTGTAAATGAAGGCCTGGAAGAAAAAAAATAATAATGTAAAAATAAAATGGTATTAGAAAGCAAATCAAGAGCACAATTTAAAAAATTTTAAAAATAAAAAAAAAAAAGAGAAAATTCCAGAATAACCAATACATATATCTAGCCCACATTTAAATGGGTGTAGACATAAATGACTAATTGAATTATTCATTTATATTTTTCCTTGGTCTATTCAATAAACCACACTAACTGATATTCTCATTTCCTATTCTAGTTGTCTTTCTTCCTTACTCGCAGGAACAGTCTGCCATCGCTCTTATTCTCAACAGAGGGCACAGAGGCAAGTACCAAACTCGTCAGGAGGCTTCTCAGTGTTTTCAAGTCCAACAGGTGAGTCTGATACCACTTCCTGGCAACGCCTTAGGGAAGGCTGAACAGATCTAAATATAAGGGCAGGAGGGAAAAGGAACAAAGAACTGCACAGGTTTCAGTTTTTCCAAGAAACACTTCTAGATAATTTTCCTTTATGTTAAAGGCTTTCTATTTGGAATGTGATATAGTGAGAAAATGACATTGTTCTGGCCATGTCTAATCTTCATGAAAAACAGTCATTAATACAAAGTTTTATACTACAGTCAGGTTGGTTAATGTAACTAACAAAGATTTAGAAAAACCTGGAAATGTTTGTGAACTGCTGAAAAACTTCAGTATCTCTGCACCTTTATCTGCTCAGATTTACAACCAACTGGTGCTGTCACTTATTGCTTCAAGCTCTTCAAAAGCCATCAGGCAAAATCTAGGAGCCATAAATGGTTCAGAGTCTTTGACCCAACCCCGCAATTTCATTTTGAGAGTTATCTGATGAGGAAATAACGAAAAAGGAAGAAAGACTAATTCATATGCATAGCAGTGCTCCTTAGACTGGTGAGAAATTTTGGGAGCAAAATATTATCCAGCAATAAAGGAAATATATAAGTATGTTTACTCAGCAGCTCCCTTGTAGGAAAAGGCAACAACAAAAAAAACGACAACAAATACCAAAAGTTAGCACTGTAAAAACATGTTACCTGAAATGAGCAAGCCTCCTGAGCCCTGAATCTCCATGTACAAGAATCATCTAGAGCATTTGCTAGAATGCAGAGTCCAAATGGAAAAGCAGAAGCCCAGCCGGTGTGGTTCAGTGGATTGAGCCTTGTTCCATGCACTAAAAGGTCCCGGTTCGATTCCCGGTCAGGGCACCTGCCCAGGTTTCAGGCTCATCCCCAGTGGGAGGTGTGCACGAGTCAGCAGATCGATGTTTCTCTCTCAAATCGATGTTTCTACCACTCTCTCCCCTTTCTCTCTAAAAATCAATTAAAAATATATATATTTTTAAAAAGAAAAGCAGAAGTAAAACAGAGCATAAGGGCCAGTCCAGGGATCCAAATTTACTGGATTGCGGCTGGGGGCCCTGGACTATACTATCTACATTTTGAACAATTACTGCAAATGAGTCCGAGCTGGTGTACAGGACCTATGGCACTTTGGAAACAGCTCTTGAGACCAGAGACAAACCTATTTTGTCTTTGTAATCCCAGAATTTAGCACATGGTAGTCATTTAATAAAAGCCTGACTTGAATTGCTGATGTAGAGTTCAATGGTCTGGTGGTCCATTTGGAAAAAATATAAATTTAAAATGACACAGTGTTATTAATTCTTGGCTATTGGCTATTACTAAACACACAAAAAACTCACTTTGCCTGCAAGTGAATGCTTAGCATTAAGAGGTTTAAAAAGTATCTAAATTCTGAAATACTTACAGGAGACATGTAATAAGGGGTGCCAACAAATGTTTTTGCAAAACTTGTATCATGGTTTAATATTCTAGCCAGCCCAAAGTCTCCAAGCTTCACGTTTTGCTTGCCATCCAGGAAGACATTGGCTGGTTTCAGATCCCGATGGAGCACAGTATGACCACCATCACTTCGTCTGTGACATTCCTTTAGGGCCAGAGTCAACTGAGTCATCACTCGAAGAACAAACTCTTCATCTAAGTATTGTCTGAAATCAAAGCAGTCATACAGCATATAACTTCTAAATACAAAGATGGGACAATGAATTATCTAGTTTTCAAAGTGTACAGATAGGTAAATAAATATATTTTGATATAAAACATGGGTGTTGATTCACAAGGGATTTCCTAAAGTTTTGTCTGTGGACCCACCAAGTACAAGAACATTCTTCCACATTACTAAGTGCTTTATCCCTGATCCTAAAAGATGCTTAACAAAAGCGAAACCAGGCCCATTTTCAGCTTACGTTTAGAAGATTAACTTACCTTTCCTTGGTTCCCTTTGTAATTATACTAGCTAGGTCTCCTCCTTCGCAATATTCCATTACAATGTACAGTGTTGTGTTGGTTCGGTCAATATTCGATCATAGTAACGGACGATGTTCGATGTTTCAGTTCACGAAGCAAATTCCCTTCAGAAACAAGCATTTGCTTCTCAGCTTCTGTCATGGAGCTACAGTCAAATTCTTTCCAAACTAGTATCTGAAATAAGAATTTCCAAAGTATGAATGAACTCACACTCAAAAACAAAGAATGAGAGCTCCAAAATTTGAAAATTACTCCTTTATTTATTTATTTATTTTTAATCCTCATCCGAGGACATTTTTCCATTTTTTGTACAGACAGAGTGGGAGGGAGAGAGAGGAAGAGAGAGAGAGGGAAACATCGATGTGAAAGGGACACATCGAGTGGCTGCCACCCGCACGACCAACCAGGGCCGGGGACAAACTGCAACCGAGGTACATGCCCTTAGCGGGAACCGAACCCGGGTCTCTCCGGACCGCAGGCGGACGCTCTAACCGCTGAGCCAAACCGGCCAGGGCGAAAATTACTCCTTTATTACATAGATCATACAGTCATTATAATCTAATTTAGTTCAATGAACTTAGGGCTCCTGAATTTATTCTCATAATTATCCTCTAATCTTTTTCTTAAATCCTTACCTGGGGATATTTTTCTATTTATCTCCAGATAGAGTGGTAGGAAGAGAGAGGGAGAAAAAGGGAGAGAGAGAAACCTCAAGGTCAGAGGGACACATTGACTAGTTGCCTCCTCAACCGACCCAGACCAGGGCCTGGGACAAACCGCAACAGAAGTACATGCCCTTGGCTGGAACCAAACCCGCTACTCATTGCTCCCCTGGCCGACACTCTACCCCTGAGCCAAACCGGCCAGGCTATGTCTTCCAATTTTTAAGCAAACAATAATGCAGGGGGAGAGAGGGAGATGAAGCACATTAGGCCTCCCCCAACCCCCTGTCTTCACTTGCTTGGTGGGAGGTTAGCAATGGTACTCTGGTCAAAGGTGGGGCAGAGACAGTCCAAGTCGCTGACCATTCCAACGAGTCAAGCTTCTCCTGGGTGAAAGACCTGAGTAAAGGTCCCTCTATTATAATGTGTCAGCCAGATAACCAGAGACGCACAGCCAAATTGTAAAGGAGCGCTTTATCCTCGCCGGTGGGCTGGGGAGGGCACAGTCTCCCCTCAGATCAGCTGCTGAGATTTTTCTTGCTTGTCCGATTTTAAAGACAGAAGCCCCCTCCTCCTTTCCCCACCCCACCCCCCAGAGGACCGGTACAATAGTGGGCATGACAGTGATTACAGAGTCAAAATTAGCATTATTCACTGGGCTCAGAAATACCTGCAAATGCCGCAGTTACTGGTACTCGGAAACTGCAGATGCCTCCCAACACCTGGGGCAACTATAATCTTAGGCAAAATTCCTTTACTTCTAGGGGTAATTAACCTATTATTGGAAAAATATTGATGATAAAAACGGAGTCATTTAGTCGCCTTAGCCAAGGGGCCTACATAAGAATGGAATCCAGTCGCCTTAGCCTCGGGGCCCAGGTCACTTCCATCAGCAATCGGGCAGTTTCCTCTCCACTGCTTCTCTCTGAATAAAGTTTACCCACAAGTAAGGGAAATATAAAACCAATAATCCAAATAAAGGGTGACTTAAATGAGCTGACTGCGAGACATAAAGCTCCAGGTTCTTGTGATGCCCAGGCCGGGTGGCTCGGTTGGCTGGGGCGACCTCCCCACACACCAGGGTTCAAGGTCGCAGGTGATCGCCGGTCAGGGCACACACAAGAAGCAACCAATGAATGCATAAATAAGTGGAACAACAAATCAATGTTTGTCTCTCTTTCTCTCTCAAATCAATCAATAATTTTAAATTTAAAAAAATAATAAAAATAGTTCCGGGGTCAGCTACCTGTCAACAATGGAAGGCCCCTAGCAGGTCAAGGCAGGAAAAGCAGGAAGGAAATAGAAGACAAAGAGAAAAAAAGACAGAAGTATCTATATAAAGACGCAGTTCCCATCCCCTGAGAGGCCCAGTACAGACACAGATGCCACCGGCTGGCGAAACCGCAGCGGGGACGGGGACGGGGACGGGGACGGGGACGGGGACCGGGACCGGGACGGGGACGGGGACGGGGACGGGGACCGGGAAGGGGCCCGCGCTCACCTTGCCGTCGCTCTTCCTCCGGATCTTCTGGCAGCGGCCGTAGGAGCCGGTGCCAATGGTGTGCAGCACCTCGTAGTCCTCCGCCCGGGTCGGCATGGCAGGGGCCGCCGCAGGACTCGAGCAGATCGCGCCGCAGCCGGCGAACCGCAGCCAGCGAACCGCAGCCGCCCGCAGAGCCCTCCAAGGCACACTGCCGCCGCCCAGGCTCCAGCCTCGTTCAACCGTCGCGGGCCCTGGCCTCACAGCCTATTGGCCCACAGTGAGGAGGCGTCACCTCTCGGATTGGCCAAGAGGAACACAGCACCCTAGGCATCGTGGGAAGGCGTATCCATAGGCAACCGCGTCGCGTCCTTGTGGGCCACCGCTTTGGACCACTAGGGAGAAAGAGGCGGGGCTAAAGCAGAGGGAGGGCGGGGGATGGAGGGCGGGGGATGGAGGGCGGCCTCAGGCGGGTCTGTGCAACTCGCTGTGGCTGAAGTCGTCCAGGTAACGGAAGTCCAGAGGTCTCTCTGAGACTTCTTTGCACACTGCCTCAACCGCATTCTGACCTTTGCACTGTGACACCCCCCCCCCTCAGGTTCCTGTACCCTGAGCCTAGGTGGGGTCACGCGGAAGACAGTGACAACTGAGTACAGCGATGAAAAGTGCAGTCCCTCGTTGAAGGATCTGTATGCGGGAGTATCTGCATGTGGGCGGACCCGCGTAGAGACGGATAGAAGAGCGGTGTCTCCGTTCCTAAGACCATCAGAAACAGGTATTTTCCGATGGTCTTAGGCGACCCCTGTGGAAAGGTCGTTAGACCCCCAAAGGGGTCGCGACTCACAGGTTGAGAAGTGCTGCTTTAGACTAAAACATCCCTCACCTGGAGGAGCACGTGGGCATCGCTGCCTGTTTGGGCAGCTGAGGCTCCTGGCCACCTTGCCCACCTCCCAGGTGGGTTTGGTGTGGTTTCACTGAGGGTAATAGAGGAGAAGAGGCTGCGGCTTGGTGACCCATTTACATTCCTGTAGCAGCTCCCCAGTAACCAGTCCCCTCTAAGCAATTGAGAGCCCTGAAAAAGAAGAAATCACAGTGGCTAAGAGGCAGGACTCTGAGGCCAGACTGACTGCCTCGAAATCCTGGCTCTGCCACTACCAGTTGGGTGGTCTCGGGCAAGTCACTTAACTTCGGTGTGTCATTTCTTAAATCCGTAAAATAGTGAAGCTAATGATGCCTACCTCATGGGCATCATGAATGCTGAGAGCACTGCCTGGCACACAGGACATGCATGGTGTTGGCTCTCCTTGTCCCCTCCACTCCTTGTGCAGTACCTGGGGAAGAGGTACACCAGGGTCCTTCCTAATCCTCATTTCCTCCCTGGTGGTCTTGGTGACAGGGCTGACTTCATAAAGTTTCACCTGTACTTATTTTAATGCTCTGCTGTTGCCATTGTGACATTCTTAAAATGTCTCAACTAGTCTGGCCGGCGTGGCTCAGTGGTTGAGCGTTGACCCATGCACCAAGAGGTTGTCGGTTCGATTTCTGGTCAGGACACAGGCCCAGGTTGTGGGCCCCATCCCCAGTGGGTGGGCATGCAGGAGGCAGCCAGTCGATGTTCTCTCTCATCAATGTTTCTATCTCTCTCTCCCTCTCACTTCCTCTCTCTCTAAAATCAATAAAGGGGAAAAAAAAATGTCTTAACCAGGCAGGAGCTTTGCGTTTTCATTTTGCCCTGGGTCCCACAGCCTACTGGCTGGTCCTGCTGGTGGTCTGATGCTCTGGGACAGGCCTCTCACAAGGGATGAGAGTGAAGGAGCCCTGTCCCCTGAGCTCATTGTTTCTTCCAACTCTCAGCACTGCAGCAAATGCAGGCACCCTGGGAGCTTCCATCAGCATCCCAGTGAGTGGCTCAGACGGGGACAGACCTCGGGTCAGCTGGTCCAAACCCCACCCAGAGTTGGGTTCTCCCACCCAGCACCCCGGTACAGGCTTTCCCAGATTTGTGAATTCTTTGTAACAGGAAGCGACCTGTTTCCTTGTTGATTCTCATTGTAACCGCCCCTCACTCTTGTGAAGTGCTTTGAGGTTTTTCCAACCTCTTCACGAGGATTATCCCACTGGATTCCCACTGCCTTGTGTGGCAGGCATTGCCTGAGGAGTGGGCACTGAAGGGACATCCAGATCAACTGTACTTGCTGGCTCATCTTTCCCTTTCCTTCTCTCAGCAACTGAAATCTCACCTCACCTAGGAAGTCTTTAAGCCTATCAAAAGAGAAGACATAACTCCTTAATTCTTTGTACTAAATCTTCTCCCCATGAGCTGTAGTAATGTAATAACAGCTATGAAAGTAGCATAAGCTAAGCTGCCCTTTAACAAACCGTGTTAAATATATCAGATTTTGGTTAAAGAGGGTGGAACACAGCAGGATCATAGAACTTCCCTCCCCGTTGGCCAAGGAAATAGCACAGAAATGTAAAAACAACAAAAACACAACAACCTCAAACAGCCAAAGGGACAATCACACAAGGAAAGAGGGTAGAACACACACTTTTAAAAATGCCAGTCAAGGAAAGAAATGGAAGTTTCTAGAACCACATTGTTTTGTCCCACCCTAGACTAGGGAAATATGTTCATCGAGAAAATCTCAAGCAGTTTGCCGATGCCCTTTAATTTGGAGGGCAGCCACCTGAGGGGATAGCTAAGGCAAGGAACTGTGAGTGGAGGTCCTGAGGCCTGGGACCTGAGCAGGCAGGAAGGGTTGTCCTTGGCTTGCTGTCTTCCTGGTGGGGTCCAGGGTTGACAGGAAGAGCTGGAGCCCACAGGAGGAGCCGCTAGGTGCTCATCACGTGGACTTGCTGGTAAGCACCTGGTATCACCAAGATGTCTGGGGCTAAGCATGTGGCAGGAACTCCTTGAAGGACATGCTTGTTGCGTCTCACCTGCTTACTAGGCCCAATGCTCTCCTGCTTTTTCTTTCTCTTCCTTCTTGTCTATGGTTTTCAGATTCTCTGCACCAATATTCTGTGCCTACCATCACCACTCTTCCCCAACCTCACCCCAACATAAATGAGAAGCCCGTGGGCACTCCCGCTTGGGCTGGTCTCTTGTGTCAGAATCCACCCTGTGGTTAGACAGGTCACTGCCAGGGGGGCTGGGGAGCCGACCCTCCTGTCACTCCTTTCCTTCCTCTTCCAATGAGGGGAAGCAGACTGACTCAGTGCTCCTCCTGGCACACCAGGTCTCCCCATCACTCAGACATGACTCTGGTCTATTCTGATTACTATTCCTGATCTTAAATGAAGATTGAGTAGTCAACAATTCCATGTCTCTGCTTCCGAGGAGAAACTGCTTTATAAATTCCACATTCATTAATTCATTCAGTCTCTTGTTTTAATTATCCTTTAGGAAAACAAAGCCAGGTTCTGTTCACTGTAAGCCAGCCCAGGACTGCTCTGAAGATTGCCATGCCTGGGCAGGCACAAGTGCATCTCCAGGAGTCACTGTTCATGCCAAGCTTCATGCCAGGTGATGGCTGCTAAGTATTGCCAAATCTCCTCCCAGACAATCTCTCCTTGTCCTTCATCTTCTCTGTCCTGGAATCGCCACCTTTTGGTGTCTGTACTCTGAACAAGTCCTATGGGTGGTGGGCTGGACAGACTGATAGCCATCAGGCTAGATGGTTATCAGGCTAGAAAATCAAAGGCTTTTAGGGCCAGATCAGACTTCGAAGCATCTCCTTCTTATCAGCTCCTGCTCCCACCCCCAGCAGAGCTGAGTCTCTGCTCCATGCCCGCTGTTCCAGCTCTGCCTAAAGTTCTTCTGTACTCTACCACGACACCTCAATAACCATAAGCAATATTCGACTCTAATCTGCCCATTTCTTTCTGGTATCTAAATTTCTAAGAACTGAGTACACTGCACTTACAACTTGAAAGATGAAATGTCAATTCTCGACATATAAACCTCAGAGTCTTCTGCAACTAGAAAGGAAAGGGTTTTAAAAATTACTGTGGCTTCCTAAATCTTTAGGATGCCTTCAATGCCATCAAGGCTTTTATATTTAGGATCATATAAATTATACATGGGGAACTATGGTGGATAGCTTCCAACTACCAGAAATGATATTTCCCTCCCTTTTGATAATTAGTTCAAGGTCTTCACCACAAGTGACATCATGTCTCAGAGGCAAAAATAAGTCCCTATTAAGACTATGTAATGTCTTCTGTCTAGTAGATCTTATTTCCTCTTTATGCCCTTGTCTCCTCACCTTTCTGTTTGGCTCTCCAACCTCAAAGCTTTTTCTTGCTGCTGTCTAGAGCCTTAAGATAATTAGATATAGTCTGACTAGGTGAACTTAGGAGCTTGGCTATGCTGATTGCATTTCAGATTACCTTAGAAACCCCCAAAAAACCCAGGGCTCTGGGAAATGGGATGGTGGGTACTGTAGACATTATGAACCAAACAGGTCATTTGGACCTTAGGCACAGAAAGGTGTGGGAATAATGTACATACTCTGTGAAACCTAGTTGGGGTGGGATAAGACAAGCTCCCTTACTGAGCAGTTAGTACTAAGTGCTTCACATGTATGATCTCGTTTAATACTGAAAAGAACTCTTTGAAAAAGCTGTGGTACATTTGCACAGAATACTACTCGGACATAAAGAAAAGGGTATCTGCCTGGCTGGTGTGACTCAGTGGTTGAGCATCGACCCATGCACCAAAAGGTCTCCAGTTTGATTCCTAGTCAGGGCACATGCCCAGGTTGTGGGCCAAATCCCCAACCAATCAATGTTCTCTCTCATCGATGTTTCTATCTTTATTTCCCTCTCCCTTCCTCTCTTTCTAAAGATCAATAAAGAAAAGAAATTTTTTTTTTATTAATTTTTGTTACAGATGATTCTCCTTTTTTCCCCCACTGATTCCCCCCTCCCCCTTCCCTCCCTGCCCCTTCCCCAGATTGTTGTCCATGTCCACTATTCATGCATACATGCGTATAAGTTCTGTGGTTCATCCCTCTCCCACCTCCCCACTCCTTAAGGGATTGTCAGTCTGTACCCCGCTTCTGCATCTCTGGGGCTACCCCATTCCTCAAACTGTTATGTTCATTATATTCCACAAATCAGTGAGATCATATGAAATTTGTCTTTCTCTGTTTGGCTTGTTTCACTTAGGATGATACTTTCCAGGTCCCTCCATGTAGTCTCAAAGGATAAGAGATCTTTCTTTCTTTCTTACCGCTGCGTAGTACTCCATTGTGTATATGTACCACAGCTTTTTGATCCATTCGTCTACTGATGGGCACTTGGGCTGTTTCCAGAGGAGGAATGGAGAGATTAACCACAAAAGAGAAAAAACTCATGGACAACAGTGTGGCGACTGGGGAGGAGGGGTTTGGGGAGGTGGAAAAGGGATTAGGGGGGGATAAATGGTATTGGACAGAGATTTGACTTGAAGTGGAAACACACAGTCCAGTGTACAATGTGTTATAGAATTGTGCACCTAAAGTCTGTATAATTTTGTTAACTAGCGTCACGCTACTAAATTCAAAATGAAAAAAAATTAAAAAGAAAAACAATTTCCTATTTAACACATGATCAGAGTGAGGTTGAGCAGGAAAGGGAGATGGTTTTTGAGCCAGAAGTCCCCTATTCTCCCAGGTTGCGGCACCTGAATAAAACCCCTTTCCTTTTGCACCAGCACCTGTCTCATGAGTTTGGCTTTAGTTGTGGCAGCAGCCGAACCTGCATTTTCTGTTAAACATCTACTTTTGTGCTTTTGGGGAGCCCTGAGTTGCCATTGCTCTCACTATCCCACACTAAATATACCAGCATTCAATATATCCAATGCAGGGCCAGATGCCTCATTTCCAATGCCATCCTTTGTCCTTATTCAAATGTGTACATATCGGGGAAAGATAAAAAGCCCTATTGTTGGCTCTAGATTCCTTGATTAAAAGAGGCTTCTTGTCAACAATATTTTGAATTGTTCCTTTGTTTGGCATCCTGTAGATGCCTAGTGGCTGAGAGCCATGCTCTTTTTTCTGCCAAGAAGGTAGAGTATCTGAAATAGCAGCTGGGAGCCTCTACAGGTGAACCCTCGGGGATGGCAGTTTTAGGACAGAGTTCCCATATAAATTAAGTTGATTTCCTTGAGACTTCCCCGTCTGAATACTTCCGAGGTCCTCCTGTGTCAGGGTGTTTGTGCCTGTTTGTAGATAGCAGCCATCAGCTTTCCAATGCTCCTGGGTTCCTCTTCCTAGAACGCCACGCTCCTCTGATTTCTCCACTTCTAGGAACCTGTTTTATTTTCCCGTCACTGTCTATCATACAGCTGATCCCGATACAGTGTTAACTAGTATAAAACTGAAGATAAGATCCTTTTCAGGGAGGGGGAAGTGGGATTGGGAGGAGGGAATCTAGGGGGAAATAAGGAGAAACATCTGTAACAAAAATAAATTAATTTTTAAAAAGACCCTTTTCAGGGAGTTTTTTTTCATCAAAAATGAAAAAGGAACAAAGATGTAGCACTTAATATTTGCGGGGAAGTATCCCAGCCTGGCCACTTCTCAGTGATATCACTAAGACGGCTGCTACAATCACAAGGATGGCCCATGTTCTCTCTTGCCTGAGGTAAGTAAGTAAAGAGAACTCGGCCATCACCTCTAGGGTCACATGCCTAAAAGTCAGACAGTATTCCAAGAAGAGGCAATAGAAATTCTCCAGTGAACTCAGGAATGAGCTCTGTGATATGCTCATGCCTTCTAGCAAAAAAACATCATTCCAATTTCTTCCTTTGTAAAATGGGTTTAATCCTAGCTAATTCAGAGTATTTTCTGATTATCAAAGAAGCCTGTCTCATTTCCAGTGGTTAGTCAACCCTCCTCCCATGTTCCATTTGTTATCTGGATTATTGATACTTAGTGTTTCTCAAGCCTCTAAGAGTTAAGAACAAGGTTGTCCAAGTCCTGAGAGGTAAAAATTTATTGATTTATATCATATCAGCGTGTTATGATATGGTCACACCTGCTCATACAGCTGACTTTTTCTATAGCCAAAAGAGGAATATTTTTCCTTTAAAAATACATTTTTTTTTTTCAGCAGGAAGAAACACTTTTAAAACAAACATTTTCATATTAAATGGAAATTAAAAACAATGGCTTTTTTGTTTGTTTTCCCCCAACTCATGAGTAATAGGGCTGGTCAGCAATAGATCTCTCAGTGCTTCAAACTAGCTTTCAGGCCTCTGTCCCCAGTTTATTCTTCATCTTCTACAGTAACCACTTGGGGGGGGGGGGGAGGATTACAACCTCACCAATCAGCAGCCTAAACCCAGACAGGAAACAGAAGAGGTAGAATGAACTGTAACTATTTAACCTATTTTGTATGTCATGTAAGACATTTTAATACATTTAAAATTTTTCAGTGGGCTCAAACATATTCTACAAATATAGGGGGAAAAAGTGTTTTAAATGCTCAAAACAAAATCTTAGAGATGCCTATATCACAGTTTACTTTGAGAAATAAAAACATACAACTAACTTTAGAAATATGCAAGCTTTCCATGCACTTCAGGAAAAGGTGGCTTTTGGCAAATTCTTCAAAGGTTCAAAGCCCACTCTGCAGAACTGATGTTAATGCTTTCCTACCCTTAAAAGCCCCTGCCAGGGTTAGAGATAGGAATCTCTTGAGAGTAGTGAGTAGATTAACAGTGAGATGTTTATTCAACACTAACAGTTTTTTAAAACAAAAAACATAAAACGGAATCGGGCAGTGGTGTGCTGGAGACATCTCCCGCTGTCAAGAAAGCCAACAGTTTGGCAGTTTTAGAATTTTGCCAGTAGTTGTCAAACGGCTGTTATTAAAATTAAATTATATAAGCTTCCCATTGGTGCTAGAGCTAAAAGTGGTTCACTTTAATGAGTATAATTTGTACAAGGCTAAGAAATAGTTTAACAGTAGATCGCATATCAAATTGAATGACACATTTGAGAAATGAGCGGATTAGGATGTTAGTAATTCCATTTTTCAAATCACGGTTGGATCACAGTCATAGGTTGGCCAAAGATTTCAGGAAAAATCAATTAGAGCATCCTGGGAGAATCAATTGGCTATATGGAATTTACAGTAAAGTATACTTTATTATTATGTTAATCATGTTATGAAATCCTTGCTATCAGCAGCATTTATAACTTATGTAAGCTGGTATACAAAATTTTCCCCCAGGAGAGTGGACTGTTAAACATTTAGTAGACAACTGGGTGGGGAGAACAGTGAAGGAGGAGGGAGAAATAGTTTAAAATCAAAGGAGGAAAACAGTGTTTTCCATTTGGTTTTTCGGTTTGCCTTCAGCATCCAACTGCCCTGGTGTGTTCCAAGTACATATCTACAGATGTTAATGCCAAAACAGCTCCAGGAAAATACGAACACCCCATGCCCACTACTAAGAATTAAAAGCACTTTATGTACTTGAAAAAAATCAACTTTATTTTTTCTAGATTAAAAAAAATAGAACCAGCTATTATTTTTGTTGTTGTTGAGAAAATGCTTCTTTTGGTGTTCACATCTCAATTTCTGAAAAGGTAATCTGGTTACTAAAATAATCCCAATGCATTCACAAACCAGATCCACGTGTGACCAGCCCTTTACAAAAATTAACAGTTGCCACAACCTTTACATTCATTCTTATCATACATCACAACATGCAGCTAACACAAAGAAAGACAGGTCACCAAGCTGAAGTAAACATTATGGCATCAGAAAAATGAAAACCCATCTGTATAAAATAAATACAACTTTGTGATAACTGTAAAGAAAATGAAAGCACTTAACACAACAATGGCAGTTGAATGTATAACTGTTTCATTACCCAATCATAACGTAAGTTACTGTAAAATGCACAGACTCCTTACATACAAAGAATTTGTGCATCACAGCCATGTGTTCAACAGTTTTACACAATAAAAATAAAACCATTAAAAATATGTGTGCATATTTTGCAACTAGAATACACTTAAAATATTTTTTGTTCTTTAAACTGTTTTTAAAAAAGATTAAATGTAAAAATCCTCAAATGGAAAATTTTGCAGAAAAATGCATATTTTATCTTCCATGTGGCCAGTCACCTTCCCCCAACAGTTCAGCACTCTCAGCTCATTCCCAGGGTCCAGTTCCTACTTGTTGGGGATCAATGCAAAATAAATACAATAAAGCACCAACCAGTGACCGCTCCAGAGAATGCCCGGCCCCCTTGTGATCAAGAAATGTCCAATTTAGGTGGTTTTGGTCCCAATATATTAGTCTCTGTCCCTTCAGAAAATGAACCAGTGTACCTGCTGCCCAGTGCTGCTTTTGACTTTGCCTTTCATGTTACCAGAAGCAAGGTTCATTGCACTACATGGCAAGAAATAAGACTAGTCATTTTTATCCATCCTCTGTGGACCAGCACTGGCATGCTTGTAATGGTAACTCTGGAGTGAAGTCATGTGTAACTAACTCTTCCTATGCAGCAGTGCAAATAAAATTTTCTTAAATATAAAAAGAATCCAATAAGACCATCCATGATTAAAGACTACGTCCTATGATTATAACCAGGTCCCACTAATCCAGAGGAGTCTTTGGGGAAGTGATTGTCAAAAACACTACTAAGACAAATCCACACAAAATGAATAACATGAGCAAAGAATGAAGAGGCATTCTTAACATTGATCCAAATGATGTGAACACTAGAATGATGTTCTGAGGTTGACATTTGGTGATTTAACATTTCATTTTCATAAAAACGCTTGAAAACAATTGCAATACTGCCAACTCTTGATTATTAGGGATGCCTTTTCTAGACTATGCATTATTTAGGCTTCTGTGTTTCCTCCTCCTGAAACTGCCTGTCTTTCCAAATCTTTCCACTACTCATTAATACAGTCATAAACACATAGGCAAGATAAATGAATAAGCAACTCAAATCATTTTTTTAAAATTAGTAAGCATCCAGGAAGGGGAAAAAGTTTGATGAGAATAAAATTTCAAACTCCTAAATTCAATTACATTTTTGGCTTACCATGACTTATTACTACACTAATTATCCAGTAATCTCTAGTTCCCTTATTGTGCAAAATTAAGGGCTAGTTGTGATATTAAAATATGAGAGATTTGAACTTACAGCTATCTATTTCTTTAAACCTGCTATTAAGATTCTCAACTAGATTGTATGACTAACCAAGATATCATTTCCATTCTGTAATTTTTCTTTTCCTTCCACTGGCCTCCAGGTTTCTCTACAATATCTGTATATTTGAAACCAGTAATAGTTTCTGAAGTTAAGCGTGAACTTCTGGGGTGGTCACTTCTGTAGTCACTGCACCTGCTTGAGGCCAGGCAGGTGCTCCATCCCTGTGACTCCAGGATCCAGCAGGGAGTTTGCAACCCTGTCTTGCTGTGGGAATCTAGGAAGGTAAGCTGAGACCAAGAAGTGCTGAGACTGAATCAGCTACTGGTATAAAACTGGCACAGTGTTACTTTCTTTCCCCTTGACAACATGGATATTTGCTAAACCTCCTTCCACTCACTTTGCAAGGGAAGTACAAATTAGGAATTTTTATTCAGTTCTGTACAGTGGCATATTGCTGCTTCCCTGATTGCCATATAAGAACACTTGTTTGCTCTTTATATTCCCTAGTGCAAGCAAGAGAACCCCAGTTACTAGTAAGGAAAGCACTAGCAATGCTCTCAAACAAGCATACTTTGCTAACAGAAGAGAGGGAACAGGTTGATCAAGAAACAAAAAGGGCAGAGCAAACACACATCTATTTACAACTCAGATCTATGTTCAAAAATTAACACACATCTATCGGTATTTGTCATTCTCGAGGCTGCTGAAATGACTGTGCTTGAAAAATAAAGCATCTTACAGAATCATCTGTTTAATGTGTACAGTATATCAAACAATATCATGCTCCTTTGGAGCACAGTGAATGCAAAAGTGGCCCTAAACCACATCTCTGTATGCATTTCTCTTCTGTCCTGCTGGAGAGTGGCCACTCTGCTTGTGGCTTGCTTTAGCAATGAGGACGAAGAAAAGGTCTAATAGTTAGGACTGTGTCTGCCATACTCGACAGTGAACAGCTTGTCCCCAGATGGCTGACTAACTTCTCAAATGAACAATTCCAATGCATCTTGTAATCTGGTAGCATTTGCTGCGCCTCAAACAGAGGCTTCTTTAAGCTTCCATTTGGCTTCCTGTCATCATCCGTACCTCCAAAATGAGATTGGTTTCACCTCCTCACTGTCATTGTAAAACACACAATGAAATGCTTGGATTTCAAAAAGTGGCACCTAGGACAAACATTCCCAAATCAAACACAGGAACACGGCCTTCTGTGTCCTACCAGCAGTAGTCTAATCAATGAGGTATTTCAGTTCACACACCATTCTCTTCACACATGCACTGAATGAACCTAAAGATGAAGCCGCCGTGGGCTTGTATTTGGTGTTGCTTTACCTTTCCCACCTAAGTGGGAGGAAATGCCTATCTTCTCGGTTTTTGTTTTTTGGTTTATTTAAAAACAAAAAACACCAGCCTTTACTTTTTACTTTCTGGCTACTTCTCAAAATTGTCAAATTGTATGATTAGCGACAACAGGGGATGTACGGTGCCCCCGCCACAGAACACCAGCGCTGCCGCGCCAGGATCCCGGGGCCAGTCCCGGCCAGAGGACCCGCCTCGCGCTCGGAGGGCGGCCACGGGCAGTGCCAGCGCTCCGTGCAAGAGTCTGCTCCTGCTGTGAGGTACACTGCACGGACAGAGTGACAAACAAAACAGAAAACTGTCTTCTAGAAATAGACACGACTGTATCCTCTTCAAAAGCAATGGAAGAGATTGGGAAGCCTCCTGTGCTGCTGTCTCCTATGGTCACAAGGGCAGCTCCTTGATGGGACAGGTTCTGGGGGTGCTCTGTGATCATCTGTCACCATTTTAGGCCAGTGTCTGGCTCTAGCTCTTACTTTTCTAATAAACTAGCCTATTTCACCAGATGTTGGTCATTTATATGTTTTGCATTAATTTGTTTTAACCATCCCCAAATGCATTCGGTGCTAATATACCAAAATTAAAAAAAAAAAGACCGCCAACAAGAACCAAGGCTCTGCGCCAGCCGGAAGCCTCCGGGGCGGGCGGGCCGGTGGGCTGTGGGCAGTTCAGGGAGGCGCTGGGAGCATCAGGCACAGGGAGAGCGGCGGAGAGGCCGCCCCAGAGCTCCCCTCGCTGACTATGCGAACACTTGTTTCAGGCTAGATTACTACTCCTTTGCTACAGAAGCATCTGATAAAAGTGCATTTTGTAAAAGAAAATTATCAATCTACGATATGCCTTTTATACAAAAGGAGACACCAATCCCCCCCACCACACACACACACACACACACACACACACACAGGAAAGCACTAGCGCATGTAAACACGGTGTCGGACTGAGCTAGCCTTTTTGAAAGAGCACATTCCAGGACCGGAATGTGTCCACTGGACACTGCTTTCCCCCTACAGCGTGCCTGACACTGAACCTCACTGAGCTGGTGAGGACTGGAGCGTCACTGCAAACGACAGGGCGACAGTTCTTCAGAAGGTGCCAACCAGCCCCCGCGAGGTCACTAGAAACACGGGAGGAGCTGGGGAAATGAGGGCGTCTACAGCACTGCCCTAATGGAGATACTAGCTAAGAGGACCAACACAGCTCTCTGAGCTGGAGCTAGATGATCCAGTATCTGCTGGCAACAGAATTTCTCTGTCTTCTAGGATGACTTTATGATTTCCTCTTCTCCAAATGTGACGGCGGCTTAAATGTGTGGTTGAGTGTATCTTTTTAAAACATGAAAAGTCCTTAAAACATATTAGCAGGTCATCAGATTACTGATCCTCATTTTAGGAGAGTTTTAAAATATCCCAAAGGGGGATAAATATTAATCCATCCATGGAATTTCCTTTGCTTTTTTTTAATATTCTGATTTGCACATGTAAAATAATGCACACTCATGAAAGTCTGAATTCCTATGGTGACCTTGAAAAGTCCAAGTCAACTCCTAAAACAGGCAATGGTAAAAATACTGAAAGATGTTATACCACATATAGCCTGACAAAAATGCAAAAGACTGTATGAGAAAGATCCACGTATTGCTGAGGGTCATTTCCCTGGAAACGGCTTCCTTGTGGCCTTTGGGAGGTGGAAAAGCCCCTGAAAAACAAGATGGAAATATTACTTTGTTTTACTGTAGTGGTATATCTCCTGGAATAAAAGGTGAATATTAGTTTTAACTAGGATTTTTGTTTTTTTATGCATCTCTGTGACTTCCCATTGCTCTTGATGAGAGATCTCATTTCAAATACAATTTTCAACCTGCTGATCCTTTTCCTGCCTCTGAGACTCTGCCTCTATTCTCTGCCTGGAGTGCTCCTCCTCTACCTCAGTGATGGCTGGGGCATCTGCACTCTGCCAGTATCAGAAAAAAATGCCACCTGTTCCTGTCCAGCCCCTCACCCCCCAGTAAGTCACTCTCATCTCCATGATTATTTCCTTCTTGGCACTTTCCACAGTCTGTAACGATCCCCACCTATCTCTTCCTTTTCCTACAGACTGTCTCCTATGGGAGTATAAAGTGTGAGAACAGGCACTCTGCTAACTTGTTTCCCACTGTATGCTAGAGATTTCCAGTGGCCAGGACACAAGATGTGTGACATCAATACAGAATACCTTCCGAAATAGCATTAACTTATACTAATTCCTCTATTTACAAGTTAAACGTCTTTACCACAAAAAAAGTGGTTGTAAATCACTGATATTTTCAAAAGCCAATACAATTTATGAAAGATATCTTAATAACAAAAAGGAGAAACACAAAGTAAACAAATTTCTGGAAAGAAAAGCTAGACCATTCCAGGGCAATATTACCTAAGGTCATCCTGGTAACACTCTTCAGAATTTCAAATAGTCTTTGACCTTGTGGATAATCCCCCAGCTAAGCTGATTCATGAGGGGATTTGCTGTTCACAAGCAATGTACAGAGAACACTTTCAAGTTTTAAGGTCTTTTATGCAAATAGCTTTCTTAAATAAAGGCTTCCATTATTGTTGCTACAATTTAGGCCAAATACCATAAAGCAAGAGACAGATGGAAAAAAAAAAGAGATCTTGGTGGCCTCTTAATTGGGTCATGCCTTCTTACACACCCATTGTCTTATCTTTAAGGAAAATATGAGACTAAGACCAAGGACTGCACACAGAGAGGGACATCGTATTAGTCTCATTAGGAGTTCTAAGGACATACAGTGTTCAACTCCTGTCATATTAATATGCACTACTCCACAGCTCCAGAATCAGAAAGTTAAGATCAGGAAGGAATCTTCTGGAGGGCAAAATGAAATAATCCTGAATCCCAAGTCAAAGGCACTAAAGGTAATTAATGGTATCAGCCTTTGTTCAACATTAGGCCTTGCAGTCTGAATTAGCATAAACTTTCATCTTGTACCCCCCTAAAAACCCATCTAAGTGGGAAGAAAATAGTGTCTTCTATTCATCGAAAATTCCATGGCCATCCTCAGACCTGTGACAACTCTCTCTTCACCTTTTCCCCCCTATGGCAGCCTCTAGAAAACAGGCCCACAAATAGCTATTTGTGAGAGCACTCCGATAGCGCCTGGAGTTCTAGCAATGTTCACTTCCTTCTTTCATAACTTCCTTTCTCCCTCCCTCTCTCCTCCTCCCCTGCTATGTCTTTTTCACTGCACTGTAGTTTTCATAGAATGTAGAGAATATTAAGTATAGAAAAGGGATGTTAGGGTAAACAGACTTTTTCTCCCAAGGAGAAAAGTACAAGGTTGTATCCATGAAAACTAAAAAGTGAATGTTATCCCTGTATGTTAAAAAAAAAAAAAAAAAAAAGCATATTAAAAAGTTGTTACAAATGAGCCCTGGCCAATTTGGCTCAGCGGTTAGAGCGTCGGCCTGCGGTCCGGAGAGACCCGGGTTCGGTTCCCGCTAAGGGCACGTACTTCGGTTGCAGTTTGTCCCCGGCCCTGGTTGGTCGTGCGGGTGGCAGCCACTCGATGTGTCCCTTCACATCGATGTTTCTCTCTCTCTCCCCCTTCCCCTCTCTCCCTCCCTTCCTCTCTCTCCCTCCCACTCTATCTGTACAAAAAATGGAAAAATCCTCCTCAGGTGAGGATAAAAAAAAAAAAAAAGTTGTTACAAATGAGATCACATGACTGCTAGATGATGGTATTATTTAATCAAGTACAACGCCAAAAATGAATGTCATTTGCTATTTCATAAAATAGCCATATAATTACATATGTATGATTACAGTCTTCCACAGACTGTACTCTCTTGAATTAGAACCATTTGTACACTGGCTGATGAGTAAGTGCCTGAATACATTTACTATACATTTGTTTTTATGAAAATTCTAAGCTGAAATTCTTCAGTATAGAATACAGAAATATGTTGATTCCTTTAAGGTATCTGAACAATAAAAAAAGAGGTTATTTCCCTTAAATTACATCTTTGGAACTACCTGTAACTTCAGGGTGGTGTATTAATAGGTTACTGTATACCTGTTTCATAAAAATGTGATAAGAGGTCCTCTTTTTCAATAAAACGTTGATAGAGCCAATCAGAAAGTTCATCTGTCTCCAGGGGTACATCTTTAATTGGAAAGATCCTAGTTAAGAAAAAAAAAAGGCAAAAACTACTTTAATTCAAAAGTCAAAATCATTCAGAACCACAATTTAGGTTTGGTGACTGAAAAGCTGAAGAAAGTTATGGAATCCTCTTTTGCAAGGGTGGGTTTCTGCAGCCTCTCAAGTTATCTTGATCTTTATAAAAAATGTTGATAGCAGCACTATTTACAATAGCTAAGATCTGGAAACAGTCCAAGTGTCCATCAGTAGACGGATGGATAAAAAAGCTGTGGTACATATACACAATGGAGTACTATGCAGCTATAAGAAAAAAGATCTCTTATCCTTTGAGACAACATGGAGAGACCTGGAAAGTATTATCCTAAGTGAAACAAGCCAAACAGAAAAAGACAAATACCACATGATCTCACTTATATATGGAATATAATGAATATAATAGTCTGAGGAATAGGGTAGACCCAGAAACATGGAAGTAGGGTACAGACTGACAACCCTCAGAAGAGGGGGTGGTGGGGGGTGGGGAGAGATAAACCACAGAACTTATATGCATGTATGCATAACCAATGGACATGGACAACAAAGCCGGGGATGGGGCGGGAGGGATGGTGTCAATGGGTAAAAAAGGAGAAACATCTGTAACAAAAATAAAATAAAAAAATAAAAAATAAAATTAAAAAAAAACTGTGAATGAATAAATGAATGTTGATTATGCAACTGAGTTCATTTACCCATTCATTCAAACATTTACTAGCCTATTATATGTTAGGTCTAGTGCTAGATGGTAAAAACATATTATTAGATTATCCTATATCTACGAATAATAATTACTGTCTTCCCATGCCTGTGTGTTAAGTAGCAGTGGTACTGAGAAAAGATAAAATTTTATTTAAAAAAATTTTTTTTTCTTTATTGATTTTAGAGAGAAAGGAAGGGAGAGGAAGAAAGAAACATCGATGAGAGAGAACATCGATTGGCCGCCTCCTACATGCCCCTACTGGGGATTTGGCCCACAACCTGGGCATGTGCTCTGACTGGGAATTGAACCAACGACCTTTAGGTGCATGGGTTGACGCTCAACCACTGAGCAACACTGGCCGGGCGAAAAGATGAAATTTTAAAAGACAACTACTTTAGGACACTACAGTAGTCAAATGTTAGGCCAAATAATGCAGCTTAGCAATGTTCTTTTGCTGGGAATGTCTGTGAACTAGATAGAATCCCCCTAATTGGTGCCTTTTTGCTAATTATATCAGAGATATCAGTTTCATGAGCCAAGCCAACTCTTACTGTTTGGGAGTGGTTGCTGGAACACAATTCTGAAGGTTCTGCAAGCCTATCCTGACTCAACAGCAAGCAGATAGGGATGATAAGTGATAAATATCCCCTGGAGGTGAGAACAGAGAGGGACAGCGTAAGTAGGTGCTAGGTATTTGCTGACCTTGAGGAAGAATTTCTTTTCTTGTTTGGTTTCCAAATTGGAGAGTGTTCTTTATTTTTTTCCCTTTACCAAAGGTATTAAGGTACAGTTAAAAAGTCTACCAAAGGTTTGTTTGTATGAAAAAACAGCAGGCCTGTCCTTCTGCCCTTCGTTTCTCCCTCTCAAGAAGAATAAATTTTTACCTCTTTTAGTCAATTATCTTGATTTTTTTAGATGGGAGGTGGGAAACATTGACGTGAGAAAGACACATTGACCAATTGCCTCCTGCACAACCTGGACCAGGGCTGAGGACCAAACTGCAACCAAGGTACGTGCCCTTGACCAGAATCGAATCAGGCGACTCTTTGGTCCACAGGCCAACGTTCTAACCGCTGAGTCAAAAGGGCCAGGGCCAATTATCTTGATGTTTATTACCATGTTTCTTCTTTAGTTTTGGGGCTTATCTACTGACTTCCTACTATGAAAGATGAGGATTAATCTCCTTCTTCTTCCTATTCCCACTACACATGCACATCCTATCTTCCCAATGCAGTTGTATGGTAATTCTAACTAGCAAAATATTAGCCATTTACATTATTATAATCATGTAAATATACACAAAGCTAAACCATGTAGTAAATCATGGCTACTTTTCTTTTCCTGATCAATCTTTGTTCTCCCCAAATCGAGCATCATAGTTTCCTCTGTACACACAACTGACTCAACCACAAGCTCTTGGCCAACTGTCTAGAATCAATTCTCTAGATCCAGTCTGCAAACTTTCTCTTAAAGGGCCAGATGAAAAACATTTAGCTCTGCAGGCCACATGGACTCTGTTGCAACAATTCAACTCTGCTTGCAGTGCGAAAGCCACCAGAGACAATGTGTAAATTAAAGCCTGTAGTTGTGTTCGAATAAAATTGTATTTAAAAGACCTAAAAGTCCTGTGGTCTAGAGCTTCCCCAAGGCACTCACATGCATCAGACACTCATTCAACTTCATCTTCCTGAAGGATTCCACCCAGAGTCTGGATCTGCCACCTGTAGTTTTCCTCTTACAAAGGCCCTTCACTATTGTCCTGGAGGTTCTCTGCACTCCAAAATGGAGGTAATGTTTGTTACACCTATGCCTTCCTCTCTCTCTCTTCACTCCACATTTCAGGAAGCACATCCTCGAGCACTTTCTTGACAAAGGTACTTCAAACCTTGCATTTCTGCCAGTGTCTTCTTTCTACCCACACACCGGTGGTTGATCATTTGACTGGACATAAGATTCAGGGTTGGGATGCATTTTCTTCCATCTCTGTCTTTTCTGGGAGATTTCTTATTTAATTTCTAAACTTTTTACTGAGTTTTTGCTTCTTTTATCTTATTTTTAACATCTAAGAGCTGAGTGTTCCTTTTCTTAGTATGCTATTATGGTTGAATCTAATCTCTGAGAATTACAATGGAAAATTTAAAACATGCACAAAAGCAGAGAAAAGAGTTAATGAGCTCCCATGTATTATTAGGATTTTTGGAAGCTGTTCTTTCCCTGTACAGTCTCTGTTCTTCCAAGTTACCATCCTATGCTTGTTTTAGTCTCCATCTTTCACATTAGAGGCCGATTAGCTTACCAGTTACTTGGTAATTCTTTATTGTTCACTCACATTTACAGATGTGAGACCTAACAGCTCACTGATGCTCTCAGCATGTGAGTAGAGTTTGTTGACTGTGAACTTGACTGAGGATTGTCTGGCTGGGCTAGTTAAGTTGGGTTCTCCTCTTGAACTCACCATTTCTCTTAAGAAAGATCATCTAATGTCTGCCTACTGAGTAAAGGCCTGATTGCTAGTTTTCTGGCAGCAGAGTGAGGTACCAGGGCTGGGAGTCTGAGCACTTGGCACACTTACTTCACTTGACCATGCTATTTTCATTAGGGGGCCTCTGACTGGTGTTCCTGAGTCCAGAGAGCCACATTTCTCTCTCCAGAGTAAACCTCCAGTATTTGCCAGGAGAGGGAAAGAATAATCACCCCGCTGTGGGATGTAGGGTAGAGGTTCTGGGGGTCTGAGTTCTCCCTAAACAGATTTCAACCAGTCTTCTCAAGCTTAGCAACCCTTTTACTCTCATGTCCACAGGTACTGATGCTGCTGGTTTTCCAGTCTTTTGGAGGTTCCGTGGTATAAATAGGTTGGCTCTCGGCTTTCCCCTCAGCTGGTTTAGGGTTCTGTTATGTATCTACTGCTCCATGTTTTTCAACTTCCCAAGTATTGTTGCTACTGTCTTTCCTACTGTTCTCCCATTCTTTGATGGTCTACACCTTTAAAACCTCCTCAGTGTTCTTTTACTGGGGTTTGGAAAGGCATGAAAGTAGACATGAAGCCACCATTTCTTGTGAGAAGCTATTTTATTATTTCTGAAAAGTCTGCAATGATTTTCTGTCTATGGCCATTACCTACCACCTGCCATTCTACAAAGGGGTCTATATTGCTGTTTCAAGCTTAGGCAAAATGTATGTAAGTTACTTAGTAAGGATTTAAAAAATATAATGACGGTGATGCATACCATCATAAAAACACTAAATGACTTCTACAATTTATCAGCAGTGTCCAGACCAGTCAAATACCACCAGCGATTTCAAATGACCAACTGTGCTCAGACTCCTTCAAAGGCTTTTCAAAAAATTAATCATGTAATGTGACCATCTGCACACAACTTGGAAAAAAATCAGAAGGAAAATTATTTTTGAGTCAGATTCCTTTCTCTTATTATTTAAACATTTAAATATCAGATTGGGGGTATTTTAAGAACCAAGAAAAAGAAGAGAAAAAAAAGAAGAAAGGAATGTGGTATAAAAAAATCTATTAAAAATCAATTTCAAGAAATCACACAATTTTGATAAAAATTTTGCTTTTAAAAATTTTTAAAAGAAATGTAAACAAAATATAGTTTTATTCATAGTTTCCCATTCTTAGTCATCTTTTGATTCCCCAAAGTATAATACTATATTGCTATAAAGCAGGAATATAGGTGTTCTGGCCTATCAAATATTTTAATGGGGTAGGAGATGCTAAGGTCCTGAAACTTCAAGGTTTAGCTTCCCTGATCAGAATTTGATTTTCCATTGCTCTGAAAGAGCTAACAAAGAGATGGATTAAAGAATGTCATCACTTTTAAAAACAGAAAAAAAATACTGGAAATGCTTACACTACATAAAATCATCCCATAGGCTAGTATTTCTTAACCCTTTCATGCCTATTCTCCTAAGTAATTGAAAGATCTCTTTCATACTAAACATTTTACCTCTGCATGCTCTCACGTTCCCATATGCCTCCGCAAATGAGTAAGTGGGACTTCCTGGCTGAGATTCCCTTCCACAAACAGTGGGGTTTTTGTTTTTTGTTACATGTGGAGTCTGCTTTTTAGGCACAATTTAAACAATCCCAAAAGGTAGTGTGGCATAATGTTTATGAGTGCTGACTCTGGAACAGACTGCCTGGGGTTGAATTCTGGCTCTGCCACTTGCCAGCTGTGTGACCTTGGGAAAAATGTTTAACCTTCCAGTACCAGGAAGAGAAGTCCCCATACCTTCAGGCTGGAAAACTGAGAGGGAACTGAGGCA